ATTGTGAACGTGGATCCATTTTCAGCAACATGACTTGCTGTGATAGTCCCATATTTGCAGCATGAATTGCAAGTCATTCAAGGTTAGATGAGAAGAGTGGAGAAGACAGGATTTGAAAGGTAGATAGCCTACATCAAGCCCAAAATACGTGACTTGTTCCATGTCCTCACTATTAGCTTGTAGCTGACAAAATACCTTTTCTTTCCCAACTGTTACTTTATGGAGGATTTAATATAGCTATTATGCAACATATGGAAAGCTCAAATACAAAGTATACGAAATAGAACCACTGTACAGCATTTGCCCAAACACGGTAAGTAAAGCAGTATATTGCTGGCAAATTAACCCCTGGAGAGACAGGTCCATAGGTCCATTGACAATTTGCCTGGTTGCCAAAGGTGATCATCCGTGTAGAAGATAGATTGCTGCATAACGTGTACGTTAGAGAGTGTCCTGTGCCTACCACAAACTGAGCCTTCCATGACCCTAGTAGCAACCGAGCTGAGGAGGTAATTTCATCACACTTGTGGCATTCATTCCAACATATTAAATAAGAAATGTATATATACACACAAATGTATAAGCAAGAAAATATATTTTGTCTGCTGCAAAACATTGTATGACTCCATTGAGAATAAATATACATACCTGTAAGATATGAAACCATAATCTCAGACTCATCAAAACATGGATCACTTTATTGTATAATCTGTAGTATACCATGCAGGTGCCTAGCTGTCTTCTATATAAAACTTATTTGAAAGTGCTAATAGCAAACCAAAATCATTTACATTCTGTATTACGTTTTGGTTTGCACCTGTGCTGTGATGCACTTTGTGGTACTTGACAGTAAAAATGCCAGTATCCAGGCATCTCTGCCATATGAATTACAGTTTTTGCTGTTTGCAGTGATTTGTTCACACTTCTGAATCTTGTCTCCTGAGATTTAAAAGAAACCCTAGTGTTTGCTTAACATGGTGAGGTTTCTTTGATTGTTGGTTCCTGATATGGAAAGTCCCTTTTTTGTTACCATTGGTTGAGAATTGGTTAATGTATTTGTAGCTTTTTCAAGTGAATGAGTTTCTTGTTAACATTTATAAACAAGATTTAATTGTTCTAGGTTATTCTCTTGCATTAAAAATCTCATTTCAAATAAGATGGGCTTGATGAATATGTTATCCTTGCATACACTTACAAATATGATTGGCATTATCATAAGCTGCCTCCATATGTAACTTGTGGGTCTGTACCAATTTATTCTGCCTGGTTCATTTTAATGGGTATCATGCTGAATTACAGTAGTTTCTTCTTGGTGTTTAAGCTTGGAGTTTCTTTTTTCTTTTAATGGTCTAGGTTGAAACAAAAGTCCTAAATGAACCTAAATTGGAACAAAGGTTTTGTTCTAGCTTAAGAGTTCCTTACCTGCCCCAAAATAGGTGTTTTATTCTTTTACTTTAGCACAAAGTGGGAAAATATTTTTCAGTTCTGTCCAAGTTGATTTCTTTTCTAAATTTTGTTTAATTGTTGAGAAAAAAACTAGAAGTTGGATTATTCAGGCAATTATACTTAGTAAGTCATAAAGACATACACCAGTGGCCTGAGCCAAATCTGTGGTGTTAAGAATCTGTAAAGAGGAGCTGGTACTGCTGCCCCTCCTGCCCAGGGAGCATCTTCTCTGAGCTTAGCATCATTCTTCTATTTCATTTTTCATGGCTGAGAAGGTGGATTGATTGAAACGAATTGTCACCTTATCAATGAAGAGATTTTAAAAATGGGAAAAAAAATACAGCTTGAGAGAGGTCACAAATGTGATCTGTAACCTAGAAAACTGCTACTTTTGATCAGCATCTATAGTTTGGTTAGCAATTTCTTCTCTAGTGACATTTTAGCCTTTGCTCCCAAGGCTGTAAGCTGTTCCTGGTGTATCCAGCCCCTCATACATTCATGGTGCTGGTAGGACAAATACCATTCTCACCATGGATTGTTCAGCTTACTTCTGGGGCTTCACACCCCTTCCCCACTAATGGGAAGCACACCCTTTTGTAGCCTGGAGAAGCAAATGAAACCAGGTGCAAGTAATTCCAACCAAAATAACTCCATTAGAACCTGGAAAAGTTTATAAGATAGTCACCTTGCTGACAAGTAAACAGCAAAGAAAAGATGAAAATTGACTGGAAAATGGAAAACTGCTTTCCCTTGGTTTCTCTTTGTATATGGTATGAATGCACAGTGTTTGTTGCCAGGCATGTAAGCTGTTGACCGAAGCAGAGAAGAGAAAGGACTCTATTAGAGAAAGCAAAGCATTTAGTTGTTGTTTATATAGCTATTTCTTTTCTAAGTACATCTTCACATTCTAATATGTCTGTGACTTTCCACTTTTATTTCTTACAAGAATGAGAGAATCAGGTCAGCTCAGTTCCCACATCTAATGGCTTGTTGACAAGGAAAAAAATTAATGAGAATGGCTACTGGGGAATAAATTACTCAAAAAAAGGTTCCCCATGGATACTGTTATTCTGAAATAAGTGTGCCTTTTTCTGATTAGTACTTATTCTGCCAAACCAATGTTTGTCAAGTTTCCCAGGTAGGCAGCAGTGAGCTTGTAGAAATTAGTACCTTCCAGAAAGTACCTTCACTCCTTGAACAAGACTTGCCACTGTCATAACCGTTCCACCAGCAGAGCCCAGTCCTGAATGGCTACACCTACCTACATCAGAGCCTTCTGCAGGGATTGTCACCAGTATAAAGCAAAAGCAAGAGATTTCAATTTCTTTATCCCCTTTTCAAGTCTAGTAGCATTATTTAATATTTGCGGTCTTGGAATATGTACTAGTAATTTGATGATAATTTCCTGTTCACTTATTAAGAGTATAAAGTTTCATTCCTTGGACAAAAAAGAGGAAACCAGAAGAGGAGATACTTTTTCCCTTGCAGTTCCAAGCCTGCTCTTCAGGTTTCAACCCAAAAATCTCTTTTGTTTTGTCATCAGAGTGCAATGAAGACCTCTCTGTTACATATTGTGAACTCCTCCACCCACTTCCCAAGTGGTTTTGCTTGGACTGGAGGACCTTTATTGTTTCAGCTTACTCATTTTGTAGCAAATTCACATAGCTTTCTAGGTTTTTGTGAGTATAAAGTGACTGCTACACTCAAAGTCATTAAACTCAGCATTGCCCTGTGAAGTTCGTCTCCCACTGCTGGCTAATGCCTGTTGTGTCCAGGACTGGAGGAGTGCGTAAAGAACTTGAGGCATGCACTGACCTGTGGCTACGCCAGCTTTCCTGGGTCTTAGGTTATTGTTGCTAGCTGTTAGAGTTGACCTTGGCTCATTATCGCAAAAACAAGCCTGCTCTTGATTTCTCAGCTGCAGTAGGGTAGATTTGTTAACCTTTTTTTTTTCTTAGCCAAGCAATTACCTTGCTCAAGGTCAGACAAGGATTTTCAGATTTCAGGAAAGCTCATCTCATTATACTTGTTTGTTCTGTAGAAGGGCTTTTCCTTTCTTTTCAAAGTGAATATTTTATGCTGTTATTTACTGAGCATTCACGGAGTGCAGTGTGCTCTATTGAGAAAAGAACAGTGTTGGCCAAGTGGGTCTCTCACCCACTGAAGTCAATGACAAAGCTACAGCGCCTTGCCTGATAACGCAGTTTGCCCTGTCAGTTGTACAGGTTTATAGGCTCCAAAGTGTTTGTACAAACAAAGCATGAAAAGTCAAAGCATGAAGTGAAAATATCTGCCGGTATGTTGATCCTATAGCATTCCGATTTTAATGCAAGGGAAATCTATACAGTGATATGATGACTCCACATTTATTCAGACCAACCTTGTTCAAAATACAAAGAGATGTCTTTGTTGAAGGATACAGTGCCTTAATCCTGCTTTATATGCATTAGTGTGCTTGTCAATACAAGCAAGTTAGCAACAGCCAAGTCATAAAATGTTTAAGAAGATAGTTGGACATTTTACCAGACCTTATTAATTCTGTTTCTGGTTGAGTATATAATTTAGGCAATTTGGATGTCTAAGCTGCTGATAGAAGCAATTAAATGCCAATAGTCCAATTTTAAGTTCTATTTAAGTGCTTAATTTAGATGCACTTCAGTGTTTCACTTTTCATCATCAGCTTTGGACAGTTAAGTAAATTAATTTCACCCACAAATGTTTTGCATGTTTGTCCATGAAGAAATGTAGATTTTTGGGGAAAATTGTCTGTTTCTCCTGTTTGTCATGTTTGAAAATGGGTGGAGGAGGAATAGCTTTATTTTCACTTTCCAAATGGGCTTTCCTGGTGCAAACATCCATGGAGAAGACTGTATCTCTTGGGTCACTGGGGCAGAGCCTGCATCAAGCTATTTGTACATTACCAACTACAGAAAGGAGTGAAGTCATGATTCTGCCCTTTTTGGATCATTTCAGCATTGCAGCCAATAAACAAAAAGTAAACATCCTAAAACACTAACAAAACTGATAGGGCTTAAAATAGAAGTTGGACCACTGTAACAACTTTTTTTTACACTACTATAGTGTGGATGCATATGGAAGTTAGATAACATTTCAGACTTCATTATTGCAGACTGGTTAGCAAGTGTGTATTCTTCACCAGTGTGGACAGACAGTAGTGACAATAAAGGATCATTAGAGATCCACAGCTGCACAGTGTGGATAATACACCCACTGGAATAAGAAATGTTGTGCAGTGATTTGCTTCTGCCTGCTCTGCAGTGAAGACAGTCCTGCTCTTCTCTATTCACTTAGTTTGTAGGTGTTGTTTTCTTACTGTCATGTGGAGATTTTATGAGGTGATGCAGTGTTAATGACTAGAGGGAACTGCCTCTCCTGGACTAAGCATGTATGTTAATGCTTTATTGAATTTTTATGTGTCATAATCAGCATGCCTTCCAATTGATTAAAAACCTATTGTGCTCCCCAGTAGTAAACACAGTGCTTTATTCTCAGAATCACTCAATTTCCTGAACTTTCCCTTCTCTCCACTGTAGATGGCTTGACAGACTGCGTAGACCCTGACTGTTGTCAGCAAAGCAATTGCTACGCAAGTCCTCTGTGCCAGGGTTCACCTGATCCCCTTGACCTTATTCAGCACAGCCAACCACCTTTCTCCCAGCATCCTCCAAGGCTCTTTTATGATCGAATACGATTCCTTATTGGGAAGGAAAGCACTCATGTCATCCCAGGAGATGTCTCATTTGAGAGCAGGTGAGTTTTCTTTTAAAGACTTTTCTGAATATTAAGAACTGCAATGAAATTATTTAACCAGGTAAAAACAATGATACCTGGGTAGCTGAGAATTCTTCACTGGTGATCAAAAAATACTTAAAAGGATAGCAAATGTCTACGTTCCAGCGTCTGAGGATCTTGTCTGTCAGATTCTCATTACTACTTTTCTAGTGCGTAAATGCACAGCAACTCTACTGCTCTTACTAACAAGGCTTGGACTGTTTTGGAAAGTAAGCTGTATTGTACTTGTAAAATAGGGGGAAGTTCACCCCTTTATGCTGTAGATACATATAATGACAGGAAGGAGAGGGACCAATTGGATTTATATGCATTGTATTCAGTCAGCTTTCTGCCCTGTAGGACTTGGTTGATATTTGCAGTGGAATAATTTTTACATGTGACACTTACGTATAATTAACAAACTTTTGGGTTTGCTGCGTGTTGATAGATCAGTGTGGAGTTTACCATGTTGTGCTACAGGTTACTCTCAAGCTGTCATGCAAACAGTAGAGTGATCTCTGAGTGTTTGTGAGATTGGCTTGTCCTTTAATAGGAAAAGGCTGTGCAATAGGAAAGGGGCACTTTCTTGCTCAGAAAACCTGGTAACACTTTGGGGGTTTTTTGAACATTTGAAATATAGGAGCACATAAGTTTTTATGCTGTAGTTCACCTGGGAAGCTATAACTTACATGCTGACAAAGAAATCCACAAATCATCCACATCACCTAACTATTACACTGTCAGCTAGGCCTGTACATTAGATAAACCATGTTCCAGTAATAAGGGCATAAGAATTTTTTTATTTTCATAGTACATAGCACTTAAGTTACAACTTCGACTCCATTCCATGCGCACAAATTCAGTGCACTTTCTCTTTGTCATTTATTAATTTTTAATAAAGTAAATACGTAAACGGAGTCTTTATTGATCTGAAATACCTAAACATTTAATCACTATTAATAATGTAACAGGATTTTATAAATATGTAGAACAATAGGGCATGAAAATGAACTCTCTGAAAAGCACCTCTCTAGTGTGCCTCTGTGCTCGGTGCAGGGTCCTCAGCTGGCTGTACGTGTGCAGCAGAGCATGCTGTGCTTTAAACCAGAAGTCACTAGTGAAAGATTTTCCTCATCAAAATGTCTCATAGTGAGGTGTATTCAGAGAGGAGGTGAGCACTCAAGTCGCCTGTACAGTGTTCTGTGACACTGCAAATGTTAGCAGCCAGATTGCACAAAATCCCATCAACGTGCTTTTATAGATATAAAGAACTGATCTTTTAAAGCCATCATTGATGGGATTTAACTTGGATTTAAAGGCTCTTTCTGAGTATTTCGTTTCTTTACCCTCTATCTCCATGCCTTTGAATAATGAAGATTAGTGAAGGCCCACGTGTGAACAGCAGCCCACCCTCACCGTGGCTTGATACTTTACACCACTAAGGAATACAACTTGTAGTTGTACCAGTGCATTGTTCACAGCCCAGATGCCATTTCCTCCCACTGTACAGAAATTACTAGTTAGTTTGGTGAGAAGATCATTGGGATTCAGATGAGGTTGTCTGTATCTTTAGAATCAGGGCAGTGCCTGGAGACTTGCACTGTGCCGTGTCCCCTGGGTTTTGTCAACAGTAATCTGCAATGTACTGGGCACCCCGAGGAGTTCATCAGTCCACACTTTGCTTGATCCTCAAGTCTTCTAGGCTGTTGAAAAATTGCTCAGCCATAAGTCAAATATTATTAAAAACTGCCAGAATTTTCCTCAAGGATGAGAGATAAGCAGAGTCTCAGAAGGAGGCAGTAGCTTAGCTGTGCTGCCTCTGTACAGAAATCTTCCTCTGACATTGTCAATCTGACTGTCATCTAATGTCTGTTCTTCTGGGAATTAAGATTGCTGGAAAAAATACAGAAAGACAACTGTTACTACAGTAAAAAAAATATCAGAAATCCGTGATCCTGACTATCTGGTACAGGCCAAAGAAGGCTTGGAGGTTTTCAATCAACTTTTGGATGTTGCTGAAAAGGTTGTGCCCATGCAGATGATATTAACTCATGTCTGCCTGCAGTGCCACTTATTTTATAGCACTGGTGGTTCAGCAAGAAAGGATTGGCTGAAATAGTGGCATTCATTTATTTCAGAGCACTGGCATCCATTCGGAAAATGGAATGGAGCTCAAATTTTGCAAAGCTCTATCTGGCATGGGTTGGTTGGTTGTTTGGGTTTTTCTCTTGCAAGAAGAATCCAAGACCCTTAGGTTTCAAATGACATTGTGCAGTGTTTTGCTGTACCATAAATTAGTGGAATTCCAAGATGGGTGATGTTTGCATGAATCTCACTGTCGATAAAGCCAAAGCGGTGTTGAACAGACTCAGGAAAGCTATCAAAAAATGGTGAAGATTATCTCTGTCCTTCAGATTGGAAGTGTTTGGTCTCTGCCGTATCCTGGCATTTTCAGCATCATCTGAAATACTAACATGAGCTGTTCTGGCAACTGCTGGAACACCTACCTTTTTGCATTTACATCTAAGACTGCAGCTTAGATCCAATTTTTCAACATTTGGCTTTTCAAATAAAGTCAGGGAGTTACATTGAGCTGAATTCACCAAAGTTAATGTTTTCAAGACATATTTTGCTTTTTATTATGTCAACACTGTGTCATTTGCACTGTTTTTTTACAAACTCCCAACTTAAAAGTGTGACATGCTGAAAGGTAGATTAAACACATTCTGAATAATGAAAATGTACTTGCTTACATCAGGAATGGTGGCAGGGTGTAGCAGATTTAATAATGTTTTTATCAATTCATGTTCTCAGGAAGGTTTTTAGGTTGTTTCTTTGCTGAGTATCTTTAATGCATGCTGCTGGCAAGATACTTGACTCACTGTAAATTTCCTACAAAAAGGGTCCAGTGTATGGTGCTGAATTAATTACCCTTCAAAGGCTGCTTACAGCAACATTGTCAGCAGGAAGAAATGAATGTACCTTTCTAGCCTTCAGCTTAATTTCTCTGATTGAAGATTTTAATCAGAAATGTAATAGAGTAAATGACATCTTCTGGTAAGTTGTGAATTCACTAGTTGCTTGACAGAGTTCCACATTTGAGCCTAATGTCTCAGCCTGAGGTGCTCGGAGAATATTGAAAACTTAGCACACAAAACAAAAGCAAAAAAATAGCAGATAAGTAGCAGTAGAGCAAGGCAGAATGGTAGTAGAATAATAAAATGCGTTGCAAGTAGTGAAAGAATGCATCTAGAATTTTAAACATCTATTTATATTTTAAATTAGACATGTCAAACAAACTGCCTGATGGCACGGAGCTAAAACCTGCAGAGCTGAGACCCTCAGTTACACATGGAATGATCCATGAAGCATTGACAGAGAAATCCTGCTTCTTTTAGGCCACCTGCAACCCATGGGAATCCGCTTTCTCTCAAAAAGGAAACTGCTGTGGAGTTGCATATTTAGTACAGCTTGCCAGGGGACTAGAAATATTTCTAATGCATTTGAAAACACTAAAGCAGCTTATCAGGGACATGTTCTTTCCCAGCTCCTGGACATTTTTGCACTTACATTCAAGTTAAAACAACTTGGACAGCCTTAGTCCATGATTATGCAATCATTGCAAATAAGTGACTGTTGGACAGGCAGTATGAGGAGTTGTCCCCCATGAGAAATAAAAGCAGGTCAGTCATGGGTCTGTAGAATAAATCTTAGAGGCTGAGAACAGAAGAGAGACGTACAGCACATTGAAGAGGCATAGCGATCTTAGAGGTTGCTCTGTTAAAATTAAGAGCAGTGAGTGGGTAGCAAGGTCCACAGCTCATCTGGAAAGAGGGTTAATGTTGAAGCAAGGAAGCATGAAGTAGCAGTTGAGTATGAAGGGACATTACTGCAGGGAACATTCTCTACGAGCTCTGGTAAGGAAAGAAGTTAAGTGAGGTCTTCTGCAAGCAGCAAAGCTGCAGGGATCCTGGGTGCCAGCAGTGCTTCACTTTGTGTGCTGCTGGGGCTCTGGGAAAGGAGGGTGGACCTGCTGCAAACTCAGGGGGTTGTTTGTTACCTCCCTAAACCCTTGAGATTAACACTGGTCATAAAGTAACTGAAAAATGTTCTCATACCTGCAGTACATGCAAGCATTAAAGCTAATTCTGATCAAATGCTTAGTCAGAGATTTAGTAAGTGCTGGTAATTCAAGAAGAGGCCAGAGAGTGGAAGACTCTTCAACATAGAGTAGGTGATAAAAAGACAGTAAATAATGAGGACAAATGTAGCAACACAGAGGCAGGCTTAGAACATTTAAATCTTAAAGATTGCAAGGACAGTTCAAAACTGATAAATGTAGAATAATGTGGCTTATGAGTCGTCACATACTGTAAATGTTTGCGGCTTGTAAAATATGACCAAAAAAGGGGCAAGAAAGTTGAAAGATAAGTCTGTTAATATTATTTATGAATAATGAGAAGTAAAGTGAATGAGTAGAGGAAAGAAAGGCTATGTATAAAATAATGAAGACTTTGATGAGTTTTTTATCACACAAATCTGTGTGCTTGATAAAATATGACGACAGAGTAAAGTCAGCAGACAGGTCTGTGTGGAATGAATAAACAGGAGTATGGGAATAGTGTACTGAATAATGATGACTCTTAGGGGTCTCTCTGTCTCACACTAGTGTGTGTTGTAAATATGTGGAGTGGACTAATAAAGGGACAAGCAGGTCTGTTGATGTTAGAAATATGAAAAAACAATAGAAATGGGTATTTTCTGCTCTGACAAATCAAAGAGTAATTGAACCAGGCTGTTCTGTTGAGTGAGTTTTGTGAGTCTGTTGAGACACACAAGAGCTTGATTGCCCTCAGTGGAGCAGCAGGTTTTGCCCAAAAATAGGATTACAACCAATTTAGTTAGTGTAGAAAACAAACAGGTGGTAAATCAGAGCTCTGTCTTGCGTACTGGCAGTAGTGCAGCCTCTCCCATTCCTTTGGGATTTATCAGCATCTTTGCTGAAAATCAGCATCTCTCTGTGTCCTGGGAGCATGGAATTCGTATTAGCGGCTGTGGTGAATTGGTGTACTTGCAAAGGAGTTAATTTTTACCAGCTGCATATTCTCATATGGACAGTAGGAAAAACTTGCCATGAGAAAAGCACTGATACAGAAACATTAGAATGGGTTACTTGGTGAGGTTATAGAGTTAGACAAGCATGGGTCTGGAGTAATGTAGGTAGAGTTGATCTTACCTGAGGCAAAGGAATGGACAAGATAAAGTCTTGTATTTCCTTTCAGCTTTCATTTTCTATGATTCTGTGATCCTCCAATTAGATCCACTTAGTAATGAGTTCACTTTCCTGTCTGTTGAATTTGATGTGTTCTGTTGTATTGCCATATTCCAACCTCTTTACAGGAATGGGAGGATTTTTATGTTGGAAAGTGAGCACAAGTCCAGCCCATCCCAGAGGGAATTTAAAAGGGCATAACTTGCGATGAGGGATTGAGAAAAATGTATGTTACACTTGGTTAGGTGCTTTTTGAATTCGCCTAGGTAACTTTCTGAAGTTCACTGAAGACCGTGTGTCTCACTGCTGCCTTATAACATTAGTTGAGCTTTTTTTCTAATAGACAGCAATCCCCCTTTCTTAGCAGCAGAGAATGAGGCTTCATTCTTCCCTTTCACAAACTATCAGCTCCTAGAGCTGCAGCAAGCTAAATCATGCTATCAGTGAAACCTTTGCAGTGCAACTGAGTGGTAGAACAAACGGTATGGTGAAATATATTCTTGATACACCAGCCGTTCATGGGAGAGTCTTCATGAGATACTGGTTTTTCAAATCAATGTTTTGGACTTGTTTGAAATTTCATTCAAAATCAACAGTCACAATGATATCAGAGTAGTTCTATCTGTCAGGGACAGAAGTATAGCACAGTTTGTGAAATCAATGCCCTTTTCATGCTCCCGATGTGTCTAACATGTTGCCTTCTATTCTTTCTGTTACAGACGGGCGTGTGTCATTCGAGGCCAGGTGGTAGCAATAGATGGAACACCTTTGGTTGGAGTGAATGTCAGTTTTCTACACCACAGCGAGTATGGATACACCATCAGCCGACAAGATGGAAGGTCAGACTTTCATTTATTGTCTTTAACTTAGATTTGATTTAACTTAGATTTGGTTTAGATTTGCATAGCTAGGGACAACTGCCACCTTATATTCATGTCCAGAATTTCAGAAATATCATTGTTCATAGTGTGGATCGAGGATGGCATCTAGCCCTCTACTCTGGGAGCACATTCTGTGAGAATTCTCTGTGGTAAAGGGATCAAAGAAAAAAGAGAAGAGAAAACCTGAACAGCCACAAGATTGCAGTGACATTCAAACACCTGGAGTAAAAAATGTGACAGCAATGCTGTAACAGCATCTTCTTGACATTTGGATATTTTCATTAGTCAGGTTTTCCATAAAATTCCCCATCTTCCCTCTTTTTTTTCTGTTAAGTGTGAATCTTCCAAGTAGTTTATTGAGGTGTCTGTGAAATTAATTCCTTTAGTAGATCACCTGAGCCACACAAGTGAAAGTGAGGACAGACTCTTTCCAGAACCAAAATGGTTAAATTTCTGTTCTGCAATGACTCTTGAGAAATCTTGGCTTTGCTTTCTGGAAGGGGGAAGGTATTCAGTCCTCAAAGAGAGACGGAGTTCCTATACGTTCTATATTGCATTCCAGGTTTGGCTGTCCATTTGCAATAACATCATGATTCACTCCTGAACTTGAATTAAGCTGCTATGGGCAGTTTAAAACTTCATCTTCCTTGGCTGTGTTGTGAATTACAAGAAAGCAGAGCCTATCTTCCAACAGGGAAAGGCTGTCATTTGTCACAGTTTCTACAATTATTTTTTGTTGTTGTTTGGCTTTGTCAATTTATAAAAGTAAGGAGCCTGCATATTTATTTTACCTTAGTTTATTGATTTTCAGATCGCACTACTGAAAGTTAATAGTTATCATTTCCTCTTTAGACTAACCTGGATAAAGTTTTTGCATTAAAATATGCTACCTGTGTTTCTCTGTGAATGTAATTGGTGTCATCTGGGAAATGTGATGAGATATGCATAATGAAGTCTGACTTCTTACCGCAGTGTGTTACCGTCAAAAGCCTCCATAATAGATGCATTCAATAGAGAGTGAAGTGTCCATTTGCATATTACCTTGTGTTGCCTGACTGTGGGTGTCAGAAATTGAGACTCTGTATATTGGGCCTTCTGTGTCTCATGGTTTGCAGCCCAGATATGCTAAAGGTTCTTCACAACGGCTCCCAGAGGATGACCTGCCTTGTGGACAAGAGCTGATTTCAGTTCTCACTGCAGTTAGTCAGTGTGTTTCAAAAAAAGGGTCATATCCTACACAGAGGGGTCTCCTGCTCGGCATACTCAACCTTTTCCTTCTGCTACTTTTATATATGCTAATAGAGATAAGGTCTAACAGGCTTTAAGACTTCTTATTCTGCAGGGTGTACCTGCATAGATTAGGAGTAGCTTCCCTTTTCTGGACTAGGAATTTGTTTTCCTATAAACCAAAGTAACTGGGTCCACACTTCAGTTATAGATGACTCGTTAGTATTAATTCTAGTTGATAAATAGAGGGAAGGTAGGCCAAGTAACAGTGAAGTACTGTACCTTACGATTGATGCATAGAAAGAGAAAGCACAGAGAGGTAAAGCTTCTTCGTGAATGCCAAGGTGACACCAGGAAGGTATACTTGAATGATTTCACATAGTAAATCTAGGGCTGTAATGAGCAGCATAAAGTTTTTGTGTTTAATGCATTGAAATTTGTGGCAATGCAATGATAAAACGAAACAAAGGAATTGGTTTTCTCTTTTCCAGTTTCGACCTTGTGGCTGTTGGAGGCATCTCTGTCACTCTAGTTTTTGACAGATCTCCTTTCATATCTGAAAAAAGGACACTTTGGTTGCCTTGGAATAGATTTATCATCGTAGACAAAGTCGTAATGCAAAGAACAGAGTCAGACACACCATCTTGTGACATCAGTAGTTTTATCAGCCCCAATCCGATTGTGCTCCCTTCACCCTTGACAGCATTTGGAGGGTCCTGTCCTGACAGAGGAACCATTATTCCAGAGCTACAGGTAATGAAAAGACTTTCAAATTAGCAATTTGTTAGATTAAGAACAAGGCTTAGACAATTTTAGACGATGATGATACCAGATAGTGAGCAATTAACTGCTGTGGTGTTATTCAGAATGACCCTAATGCATGTCTCTTTAGCACTGTTTCACGGGATGCTTTTCTCTTTTTTTTTCTTTACCTTTATTTTTTATTAATAATTTAAGATGCTTTATTTCTTACTTCCAAGTATACGAAAGTGAGGAGTTCTGACGAAATGTATTATTGATATCCTGATTTATTTCTGGTGATGCACAAAACCATTCATAGATTACAGATAAACAGTACAGCTTCCCCAATACACCAGTCTGAGACATAACCCAAGACTCTTTAAAGATTCCTAGGCATGTTTCATCTGTTTGCATCTTCCAGTTCTTTACAATGGCATCTCCAACTAGATGTTAGCTTCTTGGGTTTTATTACTTTCTTTCCAAGGGAGAGCAATTTTAACAGCATCTTTAAGATTGTTTTTCTTTAAATGTCTTTTTTCTTGACACTCCTTTAAGTGTTTAGAAGCAATTTCTAATTAATCTTGAATTTAACTCTTATTTGGGACTTAAACAAGGTTGTATAAGTCTAACACCCAACAAAATACAACTGCTCAAGTTTCAGATCATGTTAATCCCCATAGTGTGTTGTTTGAGCAGTGAGCTCAAGCAATAAGGTCTCTTTTGGGTTCTCTTTACATTTCACTGAGAAAGTCTAGAAGATATTTTGGAGGCTACCTGTAGACATGAGTGTTTCCAACCTTTTCTCTTTTTCTTCTGAAAGTGTTGCTACTGATTAAGAGCCTTTATTCTACACCTAAGAGACCTCTGATGGAATTAATTTATGTCTAAACATCTCCATAACTATTAAAGAATGTAACGTTTGAGCCAGGTGATGTCCATAGTGTTGCTTCACAAAACATACTAAGTGAAACTAATGAACATAAATTAACTGATGCACACTAGTGAGAAAACACTGGGTCACATTACTCCACACTCCACATTCCTGGGTCTTCAAACAGCAAGGTACCCAAAGATGCAGTCTACTCAGAGAGGACTGTCCTTAGTCCTTTTTTTTTTTGTCATTGGAGGGTTCTTTTAGAGTTAAGTTTCATTGTAGAGTACTGGGAAATGAACAAAAAGTATTCCAGACTAATAGAAGGAGCTGTATTAGCACGTATTAATGCATGGATATTTCTTTCTGCTTTTCTGTTAAAAAATGAAAAGGGATGTCAGATGTATGACAGAGGGGGCAGCTGGGATGTCAGCAGGAAAGAAGGGGAACACTGCAAATCAGGAACAATAAAGGGAGCAGGATTTCCCTGGCAACACTACATTTCATATGTCAAAACGACAATTGCTGGCAGGCCTCCAGCTGTACTGCAGCAATCTGATGACAGTAATACTGTTGCAATGTGTAAATAAAATTGTGTTGAATGTGAACTAAGCTATTGTTAAACAAGAAAAATCTAAAAACTAGGAAAGATAAACCAAACAGTTTGTATTTTTCCAACCCTGACAAATTTAACATTGTGACAGGTTGGCTTGTTATTATGGAAATACACTAAAAACAGTGACATTATGAACCACAGTCTGATTTTCAGAGGCATTTGAGTGACTGCAGTGGCATCCTTCAGAAAGCTGCTCTCTTCTCTTGCCTGCTCTTCCTCACAGAAGAGGAGATCACAAGAGCTAAATCCCTTTTTGTAGCTCCAAGGCCCACATCATTCAAAAGGTCAAGGCCGAGTTTTTCTTTTTCCCTCACAAGCTCGCAGTCTTTGCAGTCCTTCTAGTTGCTGAGGGCTTATCTTCATTGCAGCCAGGAATTGATACTATCCCGTAGCGGGCATATCCAAGCCAGCTCTAATCCATGTGATTCAGACAGCGGCACTGACAGCAGCGCCGTGGGACTGGAATTCTGTTGCACACCCTGGGGACTTACCTGTTAGCTAGATGACTCTGATGCCCAGCCTCTTTCATCTCCACTGCTGTGTGTCCCCAGTTAGCTTGTTAGGTTCTTTATGCTGCGCCTTCATATGCCATGCCTGCTCTTGCTGGAGCTTAGCCTTACTGCAAGCTCTTCTGCACAGAAGGTGGTTTAGCAGGAAGGTTCATTTTCTTTCTTAGTTCTCCCAATTTAGAGTTATTACTTCCAAAGCAGGATAATATCCTCAAGTCATAATACCTAAAGTATGTGCCTATTTAGAAAAGGTTTTAAATTGTTTTCTGGTTAAGAATACTTCTTAAGTAAACTGAATAATAAGCCAAGGTAAAGCTGTAGAACTCATGTATGAATGTGTCCACAGAGGCAGCATTTGCAACTCAGTAGATTAGAATAAAGCATTAGAGAAAGAGGCTGTTTATCAAAATAGACAGACCACCACCCAGTAAGTTGACCAAGCAGTTTCCAGAGTTGGACATTTTGTCATACGTCTGGTGACTTTCTTGCTGCAATACACACAGAAGACATCAGTGGTTTAAGTGGTACTGTTTTCACACTGTGATTGTGAAATGTAAAATAAGCACCCCCTGTTATTATTATAATTTTGCTTTTCTCTTGGCTATGGATACAATTACATGTTTTTTTCCCAAGGTGGTCCAAGAGGAAATCCCAATTCCTTCAAGTTTTGTGAAGTTGAGTTATCTCAGCAGTCGAACACCAGGGTATAAAACATTGCTGCGCATTATTTTGACACACACAACCATCCCTCCTGGAATGACAAAAGTCCACCTGATAGTTGCCATTGAAGGACGTCTGCTTCAAAAATGGTTTCCTGCTGCAGCCAATTTGGTATACACGTTTGCCTGGAATAAGACAGATATATATGGACAGAAGGTTTCTGGTCTAGCTGAGGCAATGGGTAAGTAGAATCATCTTGATGGAAGCAGAAGGCTCACAAACATTAAGCCAGGAAAATAAAGGCTTATACATTTAGTTGGTTCACTTACATTCTTTTAAATCAAATGCCTTCTTAGCTGAAGTGACTTGTATGATTTCCCAAGAACATTTATTTTCTTGTTCTTCCAATGTCATCTTTCTAATTTAATCAATTTGAAAATCCTGTTTTCCCTCAGAGAATGGTTATGTACTGACGGCATTATATTCACCTGTCTTTGTTTTTGAATGTTACTTTGAATATGACCTTTGGTGTGTCATTGTTTCTGTCATTTTTTGGCTGTGACATTTAACATGTCATTTCTGCTTAGGGTTTACAAAATTTTAACTTTTAGGCATCCTTTCTTACTACGTTTCACATCCACAACAGTTAAAACTAATTGATTTGTTGTTTAAAGATGTTTATATGAAAATCATGATGTTTCATAGGCTTTCTTTATCAAGCAGCACAAGCAGCTCTTCTGAGAATTGCTGCAGAAGCACTTGTCTGTGCAAATACATTTTATTTAGCCAACCTTATTTTTCTAATTAATTTTATGATTTGGTTTTAAAAGGCTTTCTTTTTTCTTTTTAATCTAATTTGGGGTTATGTTGCTTAATGGACTAATCTTATAGATACTTTCCCTTAAGATTATTTACCTTACCAACAAAACTTAGTATTGTGAGTAAGCCCTATTCACTTCCCTAGCAGTTTTGGTTTGCCTTTCAAGTCAGAGGAATTACAGCAAGCAGCATTGGCAGGATCAGGCTATAAAACAAGAATAGAAAGGGCTACATGGAGCTATCTACCCTCGTGAGGAATATGTATCATTCTGTAAATTGAAAGTGCTGTTCTGAGGGGCAGCCAGAAGGTCTCTCCAGGATCTACAACAGGCAGTGTGCCTGCAGATTTGCCTCTACAAAGCCAAAAGGTGCTGTCCAGGCTCTGCAAGCCCTGCAGCTTCTGGAGCATGTACTGCATGACTGCATTACCGTGTGCTCCAAGCCAGGCAGTCTGTGAGGCAGCTGCATGGAGAGGTTGTGAGAGAAAGGTGGATTATAGAACTTTCCTAGTCATTTCTGGTTAGGGAATGGTACAGACATAGCTGCTGGTGTCCACGAAGGATTATGAGACCAAGACATGGAGTATGATTTGCATCACATAATGCACATAGGAATATATCATAAAATACATCAGAGCTTATTTGAGGTCTGTGGTCCACAGTCTACTTCAACAGCTACAACGAAGGGCTGCTGCCAGGAGGGATGTTCCCACATTCCTTTTATCTGGGCCACCACTAACATTCATTTGATCATGAAATGAGCCAGATCAGGAACAAATTCATCTGAAAACTGAAGCAACCAGATAATAAGTGATAAATTTTCAGCTTCATTAGTTTCCTGATCTTCTATAGATGCTGGTACAGAAGCACAGGTTTTGTTCTTGCAGCCATAGCTCACACATCACATTGGCCTAAAGTGATCAAAACTCCACCCTTAAAGCAAGGTCTCCTGAATTACTGCATCCTCTATCTTATCTGGAGCTGATCTATCACATCTGCAGAAGGGTGGACGACTTTTCAGTTGTCCTTCAGGGCAGGAGTACTCTTTTCAGCCTGTCTGGCTTATGAAACTCCCTTGTTAGGCAACAGTTCTAGCCCTAGCCCCTTGCAGATACAGATGCCTGCTAGTGTTCTGCAGTGAAAGAAGGTCTCAGATGGGCTGCTGGGTTCACTTACACATACTTGTGTAAATCCAGAAATGAAACAAAGTCCCAGCGTGCCTTTTGGCACTGCCCTGGGTGATCAGGCAGGACCAGATGGGTCATGGGTGCCATTTGGGCCTTTCCTCAGCATTCCGGGTCTGTCACTGCATAGTATCACTAATATGTTTGAGAGGGAACAGTTGTGTCTGCCTGCTCCCTCTACACCATTTAATAGTCTTCTGATGATCATGAAGTCCAGTAAATACCTGGATTTTTAAAACAATTAAAATCAAATACATAACATCTTAGAAAATGATACTGTAGTTACAGATTCCCAAACTGCACAAGCATAATATGTTGTCCTGGGTTCAGCTTAAACCACGACATATGTTTAAATATGAATAAAGCTTACACAATGGTGCTGCAGAACAACTTTAACATTATTTAATGGCTGCTTAATTTTTTTTTCTTTTCCTTAAATTTAGGTTAATTATGCTTCTTCCAAAATGGAAGCAAAAATCTTTATATTTTAAGTGCATTGTTAGCATGCTTTGTTAGATTCCAATAAAGCATTATTTCATTTGACACACTGTAGCGCTGAGGGACCTTTAGCTACATCCATTATATGAATTTTTGTCAAAATAATTTCCTCTGTCACTATATTACCAATATTTAATAATGCATTCTGTTCACTTTTCATTTTAATTAAATTGCAGCAGGTTGAAGTCCTGGAATTCAGGAATATAACCATCTGCTTTTGGTTTTATAAATTCTATAAACATCTTTATTTTAATTCAGCGTTATTGACAGCAACGATCACACAACCAGTTACAGAAAAGACTTTCTGAGCATATTTCCACACACAAGTGGTTGTGTTTAGATTTGTTGAAGATACATTTGCTGGTGTGCATCCAGTCCCCAAGTCCATAACAAGAGGCCATTTTCTCAGTTTAACAACTGAGATGATTAAATAATGGTTTTTGTTCTGGATAAAAAACCATCATGTGAATGTTGACATACAAAACGGTGGTGGTAAAGTCTGTGTCACCTTGTGAGTTAATATTGGAAAAGGAAGGATTTCAGGAGAAACCTCAATAAATGCTCTTGCATAACCCCGTACATTCTCAGTCATACTCCTGCAAGCCCTTGCATCCCACACAGCAGCAAGACGTGGTGGGCAAGGTCTAACCGTTCTGGTGTGAATATAAATCAGCACTCAAGCAGTCTTAGGTCTTCTCTGTTTATTGCTCTACTTGTTACTTTGGCTGAGTTATTCATTGTTCAAAGAATTAAGATGCTGATAAGCAGAAATATTTCAGGAGAGGTTCAAGTAGAGGTACTGGCCTGTTTAACTGTCTTTTATTTAATATTTTGGCAGCAGCCCCTAAACTGTGACATGCTGGCACTACTAATGACTTATTGTTCATTCTTCTAAATAATAGATTTTTGATACAGCTGATTTCAGTAAATCTTCTGAAGTCCATTTGAACACTGCAGAAAATGGTACTGCTGGCTGTTAGTGTCCAAAAACATAGTCAATACAGTTCTCCTTCATGCAGTAAAATCTTGGCTACCTCAGAAAAGGGCTATAAATTAATTTGAACAGAAAGCAGCAAGAAGATGGTCATTTCACTTACAAAATTATAACATTTTGCAAAACCTGCATGTAACAAAGCACACGCTTATTTTTCAAGTTGCAGTGCAGTAACTTGGTTGACTTTAGAGTTGTGCTTTGCCTTGGTGACTTTGCATGCAAAATGATTGATAGAAAATTTTCATGGTAATGGTACATCAGTACCTGAAATTCATGGTTCAGGAGACCCTGCTTTCAGGTAACACAGATATTCCTTTTTGGAGCATAGACTTCATATGTGTAAGTATATGTAAAAACATGGTTGTAAACACACAAAGTGAGTGATGAGCAGGGACAAAAAAGCAGCTATGAACAATAACTGTGAGAGCAGGGAAAGTGAACTTCTAAGAAAGGGGATGATAACCTCTAGAGGGTGTTTGGCAGCTCAGAAACATCAGCTGTAGGCAGGGAATAGCAGACACTTTACAGTGTTAGCTACAGCGCTGGTTAATATGTCACTGTGGATCCTTTGGCACACATTCTCAGATGATGTATATTGTTATACCTCCTCGACCCAGATAACAGTGTGGTACCTTAGAGCAGCTGATGAATTGTCCTATGGGTCTGCAATGGTTCACTGAGCAAGGCTGAGGGATTTTGCAGTTATGGGTCTTTACTCTTTTCAAGTATACACGTCTGACCCTGGATTGGATGTGTTAAGTGCATGAATGGAGTAAAGATGCTAACATGTAGGTGGCAAGTGTGAGATTGCTTCATGGGAAAAATCTGACCTTTATCTTCTCTGTGCATTAACACCTAGAAAATAGCATGTTCAGTTACTGAACCTTGATGGCTCATCCCAGCAGAGGATGTGGCTGTTCTGGAAGAAGCTCCGTGCCCCCAGTTGGGCACTATAACCAGGGAGCTACCCAGAAACATTGCCAATGTTAGTCATAAGAGCTGCAGTAACAGGATTGGACAGGGTGGCTGCTGGACCCCGAGACTGAAACCTCTAATGTTTGAAACATGCAGTATTTACAGTACATAAGGAGATTTGAATTTTACAAGTCAGAGTTTAGCTGCTGCAGAAACAGGATCTTTCTGCTAAAATGATGAAGCAGCTCACAATGAAGTTGCTATAAGGAGCAGCTTTCAGTTTGCCTTCAACATTTGTCTTACAAACACAAATGCTCCCTGCTACAGCCGGTCAAAATATTTTCATTGAATGCAGTAATGGTGTTTAGATGGTATTAAAACTATTTATGGTTCAAATAAAGTGTACCTAAAGCTACGACACAGAAGTGAGAAGAAAATTTTGAAAATATCAGAAAACTGTGGGTTTATAAATATTTTTATATTGTATCTTAAAATATTTTTGAAGACTTTTTTATTTTCAAAAGGCTGAACTATCAACATTTCCTAGATAAAATTTTGGGATGTTGTGTCAAAATAACAGTCTTCCTTTATGAATGAGTTGCACTGGAATCTGAAAGGGTTAACTGGAGGAGATAAGGACACTTAATAAATAAATAAACAAATAAATTGGTGTATTAGAGATATCAGGATTGAATTTTGAAGAGTTTTATTGGTAGGTTCCTTTTGTACTGAAGTACTAAAGGGCAGGGGCTTTTTTGGTCAGTTTGAGCACCCCCCAAAAAACACGATCCTTGGGGAGATTCAAGATTTTCAGCAGGTGTTTTGGCCAGCTGGAGGGGGGAGCCATGTGATGTGCAAGCCTGTTAAGATAAATGTTTCATTCTAGGAATTTTCAGCTTGGCACTCCCTTTCTGCCTAGCTACAGTTTTTGCAATTAGCAAACAAATTGAAGCCAGTTTGTCCTAACATGGATTTTTTTTTTCTGTTTAAGCTGTTATTCAGGTAATTAGCAGAAATGCAATAAACAAAGCGAGGAGTCATTGGAGGAGATTTATACTCTTAAGAAATCCATAACTGATACACCAGACAATTTTCTGCACTGAAACACTTAGGAACTGTAGCTGTAATAACATACTCATCACATAAAACCCTTTTTTAAAAATAACACCATTCAACAATAGTAATCAGGGAGAGGAAAATTTATGGCATCATTGCTTGACAGATGACTGTTAAAACCTGGAATGAAAAATTACCTAGTAGTTCACAGAGGAGAAGGTAGACTGATAGATCCTTAATTATTTGTTTGCAGTGTCTGTGGGATATGAATATGAAACATGTCCTGATTTTATTCTGTGGGAGAAGAGAACAGTAATCCTTCAAGGCTTTGAAATGGATGCTTCAAATCTGGGAGGCTGGTCTATAAACAAACACCATGTATTAAATCCACAAAGTGGTAAGTCCTTCCTTTATTAACTGACCACGCAGAAGAAGAATACAAATTTTAAAGGAATTAATTGTTCTGATTTTAAGCATTACACTTCCTAATGTGTAATCCTCTTTGAATGTGCACCCTCATTTATTGAGAGCTGAACAGTAAATGCCATCCAAAAGGATATTTTTAATGTCCTGGCTCCCAGGTATTAAACATTAATATCACTATCTCTCGCGATCGCTAATACATTGAGGTCATTTGGATGGAAAAAGGGCATACTAATTTTGGTTCCTTCTCACACTGTTGTGTAGAAGTACCACATTGTAGGTCAGATTATAGTGTGTTATATACTCAGTGAAGTGTCTACATCACTAATTCATCCTGTGACTAGCATCAGTTAGTAGCATCACAGCGCTAGGGAGCCAAACCATGTGTGAAAACAGGCTGGCTGACAGAGGTAGCACTTGGGAAACCACGCTGCAGTCTGGTATGCAGAGGCTTTTGTGGCTGCCCACTCTGTGGAGAAGCACAGAAAGTTATTCTTCAAGACAAGCAATTCAGTACCTTTTGAAGCATTAGAAAAAAAAAACCTAAATGCTTTTGGTGTCATAACATCAACCCTGCATAGAGATATTTCAAGCATAGAGATATTTCAAGCATAGAGACTTGAATCTGTTTCCTTATTGCTTTTATTCCTGGGTTTTTTTCTTTCCCTCTCTTAACATCTATAATCAGGAACTAGAGGGATTGAATTATTAAAAACAATACTGGCAAATAAATTATGGTAACTAGAAAACTATTTTTGTCAATAAGCAAATATCTCATTATCTGGGAGAAGAGAATCTTGGGGTCAGATTTCAGCACTTGTAAATCAGCGCAGTATTGGATTCAGTCAAGTTCTCTCAATTTGCTCCAGCTGAGAGTCGGTCCACTAAAATCCATTTCCATCTGCAAACTTCTGTTAATGAAGATTCATGCACAGATGCATGGCTGTCAGGTTTTTACAAGTTCTGCAGTTGAATGTGCAGCTACAGTATAAATATTCCAAATACAAAAGGTCAGATTTAGTTTGTAAATTATCTGGATTTCTGTTTTGATTTAAAATAGTTTGACATTTTAAACAGCGGTTGTTTCATACCCTGTCTTATTGGTTTGTATAGATTGTCTCTTTTAAATGCCAGCTATTGACATTTAACACAAAGAGAAATCTGACCTCAGTCAGCTCAGCCCCCAACTGTGAACCCCATAGTCGACTCCTTAGTGCCAATTTACCACTTGCATAGTTTAATTTCAAGACTAAATTGCTGGCAGTAACTCCAGTTTATATGACTATCTGCTAACTGCAGCAGTTACTACTATAATTCACCCCATAGGCACTAACATGTTCTGAGATTTTGTAAAGTATACAATTATAATCTGAGCAGGACTAAATCATTTCTTTCCTGAGCACAGGGTATATGGTGACAAATTGCTTCCTAGCCCTGTCTCAGCTGTGAGGCTGATAATGCCAGAGAGTACTGACCTGCCAGCCACTCACCACCTCCTCCAAAACCTTCCAGGCTGCAGACGCTACCCCAGCCCAATATGAGGATGGGGAGAATGCAGTTTCATATATCTGCTCTTCTTCCTCATACGTCTCTGCTGTACTGGGGCATGATCAAAGCTGAAGCCGGGGGGAAGCTGCTAAACAAACATCTTTATCCATTACTCAAAGAGACACAGTCTGGGCAGGGAGGGCATAACCACATCTGACTTGAAATCAGTGGGTCTCTTCTGTTTACAGTTTGCATGTGAAAGCATCTCTGGTGAGGATGACACAGCCCAGCCAGAGCTCAGTGATGTCTCTGATGTGCCTCGTGATTATAATAGTCTTTCAGTATGCATGCCTGGCTCATATATAGGAACTAGAAAAGCAGTTAGGAGTAGAAAAACAATGACTGTACCATAGGTAGCACACACCTAACAGAGCAGCCTCTAGGCTTGTATTAAAGCAACAAAACCAAATAATGAGCTGTGCTAACAAAAGGATAAAAATGAGTGAGCTTCAGGTCTTATCTAGAAACCTGTGCACTGCTATTCTATTTCAGATATATAAAATGAACTTTAAATAAGGACTACAGTATGATTCAAGCTTAGAATTATACATTTCAGACTTATCTCCGTGCCTCCATGAGTGAAATGAAATGCACAAGTAGCCTTCTCAAGTATGAATATATTGAGATTTTTCCCTTTTAATTAAAGCATCCCTCTGTATATATGAAGAACTGCTCTTTTTAGAAGTGTGAAACTCGCATCTGGTTTTGAAACACTGTCACTGGATTAACTATAGAAATAGAATTGGAGTATAACATCATAAATGTCTATCTAAAATTGTTGCAAATTATGATTTTGTTTTCGAACTGAAACTAGAAGCACTTGGGGTTGGTTAACTAGTCTAAAAAGCTTATATTTCCAGGGAGACCTTAGAGTGCCTTCTAGTACCTAAACAGGCCTTCAATAAAGCTGAAGAGGGACTTCTACAAAGATACGTTGCAATACGACAAGGGGGAATGGCTTTAAACTAAAAGAGGGTAGATTTAGATTAGGAAGTTCTTCCCTGTGAGGGTGGTGAGGCCCTGGCACAGAGTGCCCAGAGAAGCTGTGGCTGCCCCCTCCGTGGCAGCGTTCAAGGCCAGGTTGGATGGGGCTTGAAGCAACCTGGTCTAGTGGAAGGTGTCTCTGCCCGCCTCTGCAGGGGGTTGGAACTGGTTGATGCTTTCGGTCCCTTCTAACCCAAACCCTTCTAGGATTCTATGATACCTAACTTCAGCCATTAAGCCTTGTCTTCCAGCCAGTCTGCTGCTGTACACATTTGTACTCAGAGACAGGGTGGCTATGCTTGCCTCCCTCAGCAGAAAGGCTGTTCATTTTAAAAATGGAACAAAATGAACCAAGTACAACAGAAAAGTTGTAACAATAGCTGCAGTTCTACAGAATTGCACTTCATGGCCCAGTCTAAGCTGTGGAGGTACCAGTACTGGCATGCAGAAACCACAGCAAGTAAAAACTGTGTTCTATTTCCAGATGTAAGTAAAAATGAAAGAAAGAAATTAAAAAAAGCTGTCCAGTTCCAGCAGCACAGACATAAAATAACATCTATTGTTCCAATGCGGCTGTCACTGGAAACTCAAGCTTTTTAAATGTGGATGGTTTTGCATCAGTCGGACTGTTAAGTTAACAAAGAAATGCATTCTCTCCTCTTTTCCCACATTTTTTCCCCTCCAGTTCAGAGGTGTGATCACTTCTAATTTGTGACACAATTAGAGTTCAGTTTTTCCTAACAAACACAAAGGTTTCGGTCAGTTTGGAAGATCTTCAGGGCATTTCTCATAATCAGGAAGAGAACACATACCATAAATACTAGTTCCCGTATAGAGTCCTTTTAAAGGCACCTATATCTCATGAATACAAATGAATGTGCTATTAACCGATTTTTCAGAGTATTCTTTGAATTAGTTTTTTCTTCTGATGGGCAAGTGTATTGATTCCATTTTTATTTATCTGGGGGAAGGAGGAGTAGTTTTACAGGGACTTTATGCTTAAAGGTAATTTCAGCCCCAGTGCAACACAGCATTAACTAAAATTAAAGCTGTAGTTCAAAAGCCTGAAATTAAGCACATACTTACATTTATTGACAGCAAAACATATACTCCAGAGCCCTAATTATTTACTGGCATTTCTATGAGGCAGTTGGAAGATTACCTTTGCATTGATAATTTCAGACAAAGGGCAGCATCTTCATACAGTAGTATTTTTATCTGGCATGTAAGGGAAGATGCAACCATTAATTTTACTGATGTATTTTCGCGATGCTTTTTTCAAGCCAGTGTTCAAACAAATATATGTAGTCTGTCCTCTATTGTTCAGAGATATTTTAAAAATGCAATCCCTTTCAAAGTAGCTGTAGCACACTCAGTAATTTCCAAGGAGAATCTGAGCTTCAGACTTACTTGAAAACCACAAATAGTTTGACAAAAGTTGGTAATAGTACATAAATGCATTTGCTCTACTTTGGGAAAACTCAGATGTGTCTCAACATATGCTTCCTGCAGCATCTAGAATATGCTCATTTTACAGCGTAAGAGTCCTCCAGAAAGTACTTCGCTTTGTGCTTATTCCTTTAATTGTGCCACTTTTCTGATGAAGTATTGTGCTTACAAAAAGAAATAAGAGATTTTGGACTGTGAGCTAGCATAATATCAATCTTCCATTCAGAAATAGCCAACTCATAACACGTCATTTTAAAGGTACTTCTTAGCTATGTTACCACAGTGTTATTTAAAATAAACACTACAGGTATCAGCTTGAAAAAAAATACATCTATGTACTGGTTCTGGTATCACCAATCTAGTAACTGGTTGGACTTTCAACAGTGTATGCTGTGGAGAAGTGCTGAAATACTGACACACAGGAAAGTTGTTTTAAACTTTATGGCAGAACATAATATATTCTTGCTGGTAAGACATTCACTTGTGCCTTGACTCTAAGTTGGCTTTGCTGCACTTGGCACCTTTTTATATGAAAGACTCGCATTTAAATTTGAATATTGATTTTGTACTGCCACTCAGTGCTCTTCTGTGAAAAATGCACAGTAGTGCTGCTATTAATCTCCCTTAATTAAATATTCAAACTGTCCAAGAAATTCCTCTGCTACCTAATAAAAATTTATGAATAAAATGAATATTAAAGTAGTAATCCCCAAGAAATCAGATAGCACTGCAATTAACAGTCAATTTGTAAGAGCATTAACCAACCATGAATTCTCCTCATGATGTTGGCTTTTAAAATAGCCATGAACCACAAATCAACAGAGTGGTGATGGTGAAGCCTGGGACTGAACACAGCTGGAAGAGATCTGTGGAAACCTGTGATAGTCTTTAAAAAATATGATGTCTGCTACTGTTTTGGTAATCTGGTCTTCTAGACTATTGCATAATCCAAAAATGCAGAATAATTTAAATGCTATATATTTGCTTTTTTTGGTCTGTTTTCTCCTCACTTTAGGAATAGTACACAAAGGAAATGGTGAAAACATGTTCATTTCCCAGCAGCCACCAGTCATCTCAACTGTGATGGGCAACGGACACCAAAGAAGCGTCTCTTGTTCCAACTGCAACGGTCTTGCACTCAACAGCAAACTCTTTGCCCCAGTTGCTCTTGCTTCTGGGCCTGATGGTAGCGTGTATATTGGTGACTTCAATTTTGTCAGACGGATCTTTCCCTCTGGAAACTCGATTGGCATATTAGAATTAAGGTAAAAAAATAATAGGCTTTCTCTGACTGGTGCTCATAATCCTGGCTGAACGCCTATGAAAATTACAATGAGGTCTTTTTTCTCTCAGGACTTCAAGAAGCAGCCACATTTGGTTGCATTGTGAGCAAATGTCTCACCAACTTTCAGACAGACTCATTGGAAAACTTATGCTTACTCTGAAGTCATCAGTTAAGAAGGCCAGCTTAGTGGCCTTTAGAACAGATTTTGCATAGCGAACTTCCACAAAGTGCAGAATGAATAGAGCTGATTTTTCTTACTGTGAGATTTTTCATGCTTTTTCTCCAAAAGTTAAAATATTCCAAGAGTATTTTTTGAAGAAAACCCCATAATTCAGTAGCAAATATGCAGAGTATCATGTCAAGGCACAGAATTGTGGCTGAAGATAGACTTACCCTCTTTAAAATGAATACAATTAAATAGTTCCCCATCTGTAAGAAAGGATGTAACTGGGTTTAAGCAGACAAGAGCAAACCTGGCACTGCAGTCTCACGGGTCACAGGCTGGGTCTGTGCCACCATTAACGTCTCCCCTGTAATTACGACTCCAGCTTCTGTTCCTTTTCAGGGCCAGAGGGGAAGGCAGGAAAATATCTGGACACTGATACTCTAAATTTCTCTTACTTAACAGCCATGAATCTCTGTCTAACTAACCCTGCTGGTGATGGTGCGTGTGCTGACTGTTCAGAAATAACTTGACAATGCACAGGCAGTGGAAAGGAAGCAGTTTGAGAGAAAGAAATAATACAGGATAAACAATGTTTTGTTATTGGGATAAAGCTCTGGGAGCAGTCAGGCAAAAAATGCAGTTCTCTTGGTGACTAACATTTCTTATATTTTTCTTTCTTTTTCTTCTAACCCTGAACTGATCTGTCTTGCTAGGAATAGAGACACAAGACACAGGTAAGAAAGACACAGGAACAGTAATATGTGAGCTATGCATGAGGAAACAGTCTTTTTAGAGATCCTTTTAGAAATCTGGATACAGAGGACTCTAATTTAATAAATACAAATGTTAATCACATTCACCTTTATTTATACTAGAGTAGGCTTGATTTGTTCCCTTTGAAGGAATGAAGCCTCCCTCTGAAAAAAATCAGCTTGCTGATCACCACAACTTTTAGTCTCCAAAAATGCAGGGGAAAGGTTTATTTTTACCAGGACGAATAAAATACTGTGTAAAAGGAGATAGAGTTTGGAGACCAGGAAAGAGAGAAGGCCACTGAACTTATTTTTGACTTCAAAAACAAACTTAGCACATTTGTTTTTCTTGTCATCAAGATTTTAATAAGAAATAGCAAACTTATTTAATAACTGATTAAAACAGGAACTAGGCTTTAAGGTTACAGGAAAAAAAAATCCTACAGGATAGAAATAACTTGTAGAAAGATTCATTGTAGATCCTAGTCTACTTGATAAAGCTTTTAAATAGGCTAATTTAAATAAACTCAGATGTAGATTGGTTTGCAAACTTCTGCATATGTAGCAAGTTTTTCCCATTTTTCCCCAATACTCTTGAAATGTAAATATTGTCCTATGCAAGGCTTTAAGCATAAACATCGTGAGTTTTCTAACAGCTGGTCTGTTAAATGTAACAAGAAGGATGACAGAAAATGTATCCACAAGGAGATTATATAATGAACCATGGTTCTTTGCAGGTTTTACATGATAAAGAATGTTTATTTAACATCTTAAATTTTCCTTTCAACTTTTTCCACTGAAGTATTTAATTAAAGTCATCTTTTGTCTGCCTGGTCTCTTCTGAGCTCACTCCAGAGCACGATTCTTAATGTTTCCAACAAAATGTTATAATGGTGGCGATACATAATTTGGCATTAGTTGCTTTTACCTCATCCTTTTACCCATTTTTCATCATACCACTGTCCTCTTGTTCATGATATTTCCTTGGACTGGGTTTCACATCTGTTCCCCAGCTGTGGGAAAATCACCAGCTGTTATCAAATTCACCACAAATAGAGCCCAGTAACTTGTTTCCTAAATTTGTGGCAGCAATCTTAAGTGTTACTTAATTAACAAATGTTAATAAAAATGTCTCTTAAAAAAAGTAGGAATCTGACAATCTTCCTGATCTGCAGAGCAGATGGGAAGTCCCACAAAGAGTTCAGGGGATGTGGGCAGGTCAGTGTCTAGCCCAACCAACTGTGATATAAAGTCTCTACACCTATCTGGAATTTATTTTGTGTTGTAATGAGGACCACACAGCAGTCTCACCAGGCTCAGGACACTGTGGTGTGCCGTGTGCTTAGACAGTTTCCTCCAACTGGAAGTTAGCTTAGCACTGAAAAAGAAACAAAAAGTCTCACCGGTTAATAAGATGCAGCCCAGTTCTCTGATTAGAATTTATGATCCTCACCATTTAATTAACATATGTAAATATTTTTTGAATAACATTTTATAATCTCAATAAGGCACTTCAGTGCATGAATTATGGTGCATTAATTCATGCCTAGTTGCGCTGACAGTAGTTGGCCTTCTGCCTTGCTCCTGACAATACAGTCGGCATGAATTAAGGCGCCATATTTCACACCTTCATATTTCCTAACATGTAGAAACAGATAAAAATAACCAATAGTGGGTATTTGTGCCAATGCAGACAATCTGAGATTCGCTTTCCTGCAACTTGAGATTGGTTTTCAGTGCCAATAGTACTAGGACTTGTCAGGTATAGAAAAATGACTTTGCTTTTGAAAGTAATAATTGTAACTAGGCTAAAGTCACTTCAGTTAGCTTTACGCTGGGTGGCTTGGGACTGATGGACTCCACCAATACCACTCTCTGCGTAAGCTTACTGATATCTGGCTGGCTGGTCAGGCTGTGCAGCCACTTAGCAGTTCCTTCTTAGCAGTTGTGCTTGCATGAGCTACATTAAAACTGGTCTCTCTTAAACCAGTGTCATCTCCAAATCATTGAACAGATGTCTTCAGATAAGTAGAATATAATACTTATCCTGCAACAAACAAAGATTAAGAAGAAAATCAATTTAACTTTGATGCTCTTCTATTTTAGTACAAGCCCTGCACATAAATACTACTTGGCTGTTGATCCAGTCTCAGAATCCCTTTACCTGTCAGATACCAACACCAGAAAAGTCTACAAAGCAAAATCTCTTGTTGAAACAAAGGATCTGCCCAAAAACGCAGATGTGGTGGCAGGAACAGGTGATCAGTGCCTTCCATTTGACCAGAGCCACTGTGGAGATGGCGGAAAGGCATCCGAGGCCTCTCTCAACAGTCCAAGAGGTAAGAAAAGAGTATACCTGAAGTACTTGGTGTTGGTCATCTGTCATTTCCCTCTGTTACTTAGAAATTCAGATGCAACTGCATGTACAAAAATGAGTCTTAGTTGATGATTTAGGCAGCTGTAAGTAAGCCAAATCATTTCATAAATCTCATTCACATTTTAATACCAGTGCTTTATGAGGGAGTAGCATGAGCAGTAGGCTCCATCCTCTGAAATACTCTTTTCTTCTGTGTCAACACAAGGAAAAACTCTTCTTTTATTACCTTTGGATTGTGAGGTAGCAGCATTTAATTAAATTTTTAAGCAGATAATATGATTGCAAATTCCATTTTTTAAATTTTATGCTTTCAGGTGATTCCTGTAATGTTAATGGCACTAATACACATTAAATCAGGTCTGTTCAAATCAGACAGCCAGCAAAATCAAGTTTATTTGGAACTCTAGTTAGTCCTTCTTTATTAAATGCACTTCGCAAAATATGAGCATCTCACCTACTGCATCCAAAATTAATATTTTGATGCAGCCTTCCTGCCAGAGTACATTCCATATTGTCACAGGCAAAATGCGTGTGAAGCCCTGAATCCACACCAATGCCACAATTAATCCCTTGCAGCGTGCGTTAGAACTGTGATAAAGTCTCTGGATTTGGTGCTCTAAAGCAGCTGATCATCCTCATATCCCACCAAAATCCTTGCAACAAAGGGTACTCAACAGCTCCCATGGCAGAGCCCTGAATGATGTTTAACATGCTTCCCCTGTAGTACACCACTTCCTCCTAATGACTAGTTTTAAGGAAGGCTTTTGATTATTTTTCATGAGCTAATAAAGGGTGGCTGTATATCAGTAGGAAATCTGAATGTGTATCCAGGCAGAAACATCTCTAAAACGAGCAAATAATCCCGGTTTAAGGCTTAGCAAGAGACACGTTGTAATTAGAGTGACTTTAACATGTCTTTAATGATGGAAGGTAAGTGTGAGGTCGGTACAAATAAATGTTAATCTTCAGGCAGCTAATTAATGTAATGAATCAATTCTAAAAATAGAGGAAAACAACAGTTTTCAGATCCTTTAGCAGGGAAATGATCACTGTTTTATTGCTGATTACAATTGCTTATATCTAACTATAATGCAATTACTTGTTCCATCTTATTTTCTTATTGAGGAAGTATGTTGGTGAAAATTTGTAATATAGTACTTACTTTAAAAATACCCATTCATGGCCAGCTTCCTGAACAGAAGGTTCTAGTCATAATGAAATGAAGAGGAATAAAAGTACAATTCATGAGTGCTGGGGTAGCCAGCTAATATTAAAAACTGTTAGCAGACAATGGCTCATATATCAGCAAATTCAGGTAATGGCTCCCAGCTGCTTTTGATGTCTGCATCAACTCTACATTACATCAGTTTGAAATTGTCAGATTTGTTATGGTTTGGATTTTAATCCCAAGGAACTATGAATTGCCACACGCCCTCTTTGTACAACAAATCGCAGCACTAACCTGTAATCACCAACAGTCAGAACAATTAGCTGTGTATTATCCTAACAGCCTTGAAAGTACCTGTCCTTGTTTACTCTAAACTGTAAGGGGTTGAATAACCTTGGAAAGTAGTAGGAAGTACTTCCCTGGTACCCATAAATCTACTATTAGGAGAGCTAGAAGTCTCACATACTTAAATACTGGTTGAGAGATTCTTTTGGATCACTTATTTTACTTGTTCTTGGAGTAATTGTCAAGTCAGATGTCATCACATTTCTACTGGAATAACATTCAAGCAGGATACAGATATTTTTCCTTGGAGGCAAGAAACACTGACAAAAAATTTGGTTAGTCCAGAGACTCATCAACATCTTATCCATGTTTAAAAACTAATAGAACACAAAGCAACAGTGTTATGTAGTATATGACCTCAAGTAAATTAATTGCTTCAATTTCTTACCTCTGACATTTTTACAATGCAAAAATAGGTACATGATAATGCATTTAAAGACAGAGTAATTGCCAAGATGTTATTAGATATAAACACTTGCATTACTCAATGACCAGACAAGATTAGCATTTATTTTTTAAACAGATACAGAAAAATCTTTAGCTCCCCCCCATTTGCCTTATTGTTATTCTGAATATTCCTTTTTTTCTTGTTACAAATGAAAATTAAATCTAAGAACTCCATTCAGCAGCCATCTCACTTTGGTTAGTTACAGCTCAAAAGCTGTCATCTCATTTTTGCTACCAGCTGCCTGTGACTCCAAATAAGGTCTTACCTATATGACTCAGTTTGTCCATTTGCACGATTGGTAAGTATTACATAGTGGGTATTTCTTGTGAAACTTAGTTGTGGTGTTTAGCATCCTCAAAAGTATGTTAATAAGGTGAAATTCAAATACTCTTACTGACTTTTCTAAATGCTGTTTTAACTTTTTTGAACTCAAAACAATTTTTCTACTTCAGGGGGCACACAGGTAGGTTTTGGGAAAGTCCTGGATTGTTATTTAGGGATTTAAGTCTTTCATCAACTTTTATTTCTCATTATCTTTGTCAAGACTGCTTTCGCCTAGTGGCGGGGAATTAAAAGCCACAAAGGAAAACATCATGAAGTCACACTAATCAATTATGATTTGATCCATTTTCCACAACTTCTGTTTTGCAAGTAGCAATCACATATAGCTTTGTTCAGTCTGTTCCCACTTCTCTGTGAAGGACTAGAGATGGGGCTTAGTGAACATTAATCTTGCACCATTGTATGTTGAGCTGACTTTGAAAGATGCTTTTAAACATGCATGGGTGATGTAGTTGAAATTTGAACTTCAATATATTTTTTACTGCAACTTTAATTCTGTAGAGATCTCAGACTAATGAGTCATGTAATAGATGACCAAGTACTTAAACAGAATGTGGAATGATACAAGGTGGGGACATAAAATAAGATCTGTGACAAGCTGAACACATTTATTACACAAGATGATATTGAAAATGAAGAAGTAACTTCACAAGGTATTAATCATTGACTGAATTCCAATCACTTGAACTTTAAAAAGTAACAGATTTTCATTTGGGGGTGGGGAATTCTGTTTGGTGGGTTTGGGGATATATTGATTAAAAGCATTTATGGCACATCTAGTCACCAACACTATCATTTAAACTATCTGGATTCGTATTTATAACACACTAAGGGACAGTGTCCTGATTTTAACTACTCATTGAGTATTTGATCAGTAAGAAGCGCTAAAATTGATAGACATAGCTGGGAGGAGTTCCAATTAGCACTGCAAGGCCAATGCTTTAAAGGCATTAAACACTTCTGAAATCAGTGAGACATGTAAATAGATTTGGCTTCCCAGACTTAATTGACAGAGGCAGTGAGAGGCTGGTACAGTCAAGTTACCCCATTTTCCCTAAGCAGGAGGTTCTCCCAGTCAGTACACTAGGAAAAGTGGTTTAGATCAGGATCCGATTTCAATTAGCTTGTATTTGTGACCAACTCAGAGTATTCACTCAGGACAGCTGTGGTGGAAATGCAAACTAAGTAACTTTTGTGAAAACAATAGGTCACTCCGATGATCGAACCCTCAGCATCAGAACTGATTTACATTTGGGAAGCCCAGCACTAAATCCAAGGATTTAAGCATCTTGAGATCCTGCAGTGTCTGCTTTCTGATTCCTGGGTCCAGACTGGACTCTAGAAGTAGAAGGTAGATGTGCACACTGTCTGTGCAGGCTGTTTGTACAGTCTAAGCCTCAAGAAGTTAAAAGCTGCACACTGAGTAAAAAGCATTTGAATGCGGTGCAGTGACCTCAAAGTAAGCACTAGGGAAATGTAGAAGTTCTGAATCCCATGCATAAAATACCTTATACACAGCTGCAGGGAAGAACCTTTTTCACTGAGACCTATGGCCCCGAACTACCAATACAAATGAAAGCTTAAATTAAAAATCAGTTCTGCAGTGTCGTTTTATTCATTTTGTTTGAAATTACTAAGGAAATACCACTAAAAAAAAATCATGGTTTTGAAAATATGTGTGCCTCAGTAGTTTACATGTGAAATAATCAGTCTTGTTACTCACCAGCTGCACCAATACTTTCTAAAGTAAGGAAAGCTGTAAGAACAACTGCTCAGATTAAACCTTTACGTTTGTCAAATGATAGTAGTCTGTTCAGGGCATGCTCCTGCTCAGCTAAAAGATTCCTGTTACCTTCAGTAAGATGTCCACCAAATTCCTAATACAGCTTCTTGTGAAAACAGGACCCGCTTGGAAATCATTTATTCAGCAATCTTTGCTATTCTGTAAATTACTAAGATCTTTTCAACCATTCCATACCATTCGAAAAGGAAAGCAGAATGGGGTGAGATGTTTCATTAGCAATATATAAAGAAGTAGAGAAGCCAGGGTGATTGCAGCATTGAATTGCTGTCATGTATGCATCACAGAACAGCAGAAAAAAATCATCTTATGCCATTTTTGATTCAGCAAAATTTATTCCTTATTTCTCTCTTAAGTAGTCTTAGCTACCTACGATTTCAGAAGTCTGGGAATCTCATAGAACATTTAAGGTAAACTTTTTGGACAGCAAGTTTCCGTAAATGTCATCCAACCTTTGTGTGAATGCTAACTTTTCTGCTCACCTCTGTCAGCAGTAAGTATGACTCCAGTCATCATGTCTCAGACTGGAAGCAGGACATTTTCATTTGCAGTCACCAGTTAAAAGTGCTGTATGCTCCAACTCAACTGCTATGTGTCTAAAGAGAACATCACTATAGAGTGCAAGTACTGAAGTCATGTTCCAGCTGACAAAGAACTGCTGAATATTTTGCCGCTGGTACTGTGACAGTAATGAAGTAAAGATGACAAAGATCACAAAGCAACAGACTGCAAATCACTTGAATCATATTTTGAGTGGTGTATTATGGTAACCTATAAATAACTAATTGCATAAAATTGCTTTAGTAGTTTCTAGATGGCAGCTTTAATTAAAAGCACCGGAGACATTTAGAAGTTTGG